TATCCTTAAAACATTTTCATATTCAGTTATTTTTTTGTCGAGTTTTCATCAAATGTATGTTATTCTTGGGGTTTTTTTCACTTATATGGGCTAAGATAATTAAATAAATAATTAAAATGAACAATAAAAACAACATTGACATCAACAACAACAACAATGGTAATGATAATTACATCAACAGCAACAACAACAACAACAATAATAATAATAATAATAATAATGTCATCAACTTCAACAACAACAGCAAAACAACTAAGAATAACAACACACATAACACGACATCGCTTGGGTTGAGTCAGTGCGTCTATGAAAAAAATCTTCAAAAATAAACTCAATTACATTTAACGTGTATTGTCGGCCACTTTTATCAGATTTTTGTCCACATGTTTCATGATGTATGTGCATGTGATAGATTGAAAAAAGTTTCTTAATATTTCTATGAAAAGATAAATGAATGGGCAAACATTTTTAAAATGTTATCAATTTATTAGATTTTAAATCAGTTAAACAAACTAAATTAAACTAAAAAAAGATAAATCATTGAAAAAAAATACTTCTTTGAAATGCTTTCAATGTATTAGATCTTAGATAAGTTAAACAAACTAAATTAATTTGAATTTGAAATGTTATCAATGTATTAGATCTTAGATCAGTTAAACAAACTAAATTAAACTAAAAAAATTAAATCATTGAAAAAAATATTTTTTTGAGATGTTATCATGTATTAGATAAGTGACACCAGGACTCGCTTGTGTTACTTTTTGAATATCAGCACATTTCAACTACTACAAAGTGTTAAAGATCGGGTTTTATGGAAGTCGATGGTCGCCAATATCCTGAGAGGATAAGGCACGAAAAAGAAGAATTAGATAAGTATAAACAAACAAGGTATATTTCTTGAAAATTGGATTATGAATAAATAAGCAACAGGACGGTGTGGTGTAGTGGTTAAGTATCCTGCTTCTTCTGTCGCAGAGTTTGGGTTTGAATGCAGGTGAAATCCAGTAGATTCACACTTGTATTTGCACCCTCTTGTTTTTGACACATTTGAAAAAATAAATAAAAAATTAACTAATCAAACAATTTAAAATGAATAAAAGCAACAAAAATTACATGAAACAAGGCATTTTTTAATGTAAATTTGAGAGATACAATATTACTGCTGCTTAAAAATAAACATTACTACAATATTTTAAAAAAAAATTAAGATGGAAAAAGCCAACAAAGTGAATATAAAAATAATTTTAAAAGTTGTAATTTATTACATTTTGTAAAACAATTCTTTCTTACTGTTAGGCTGTAGATGCAGAAGGACACAAATTACTTCGTTGACGTCACAAATTAATGCGGTGACGTCACTATAACGTAAACATAAACTATACAAACGTATCAAATCGTTTTCAGAAGAGTTCACGAGGCAACGGTATATTTTTTTAAATGTTTGTAGGTTTTATTTTTTATAACGAGAAAAAAAAATCATTAATTTTTGTAATGTATTAAATCTTAATTGTGTTTCTCAAACATTCATACATAAATTATTTCTACTTATAAGTAGTACTATATAAAATTAACAAAGAAAAATTAACAAAGATTAAAAAAAACAAAGAAAATAAATCTTATCTGAAAACTAAACAAAAATCAACATCCCATAAACTCTGGGCAAAAAAAGAAAGTTACATCCAGTCCCTAAAATATCGATGAACCAACGAAACGAAAATGTAACATAGATATGAAAATGCAATATAAATGTGATAATGAAACATGGATACAAAATGTGCATAGAAATATATTAAAGTAACAAAGATACAACGGTAAAACAAAGACATAATGGTTAAACAAAGATACAATAATAAACCATAGATAAAATATATCTGCATTTATATAATACGTAACGCAATGAAAAATTTTGATAATGATTAAGATGCACCAATAAGGAAGATGATATGTTGACAACAAAGATTTAAAACGCCAAAATAAAATAATGATATGATATCGACGGAAACAGATATCAAAGATCGCAAATAGCGTAATCAAAAGATAGACTGAATGGAAGAATGAAAGAAGTAGTAGTAGTAATAACTCAATATAAAATAATTATTGGACGACGTAGATAGAGCAGTGGAGATGCGATAAGGATTCTTTCCCAGTGCAAAACAACCAATTAGATGGAAATCAGCTTCATATACGTACATACATACATACATACATACATACACATACACACACACACACCGACATACATACATACGTACATACGTACATACATACGTACATACGTACATACATACTTACATACATACATAAACCGACATACATACATACGTACATCCATACATACATACGTACATACATACACACACATACATACATACATACATTCAAACAAACACACAAACATACAAATCCCACACACTCCACAGAATACATTTTTAATCGACCATTAAATAACTGGTTCATGCATGGGCTGTTGCGGAAAGAGGTATATATGTGCAATGTGCCTGATAAAATATTGCTCCACATTCTAAATAACTACTTGGACTCACATACACACATACATACTTACATACACACACACACAAACACATACATACACAAACACATACATACTTACATACATCACCGTACTAAATCAATAAATTTAACAGCCGACAGCAACGAGGTTTGTTGCAAAGTTTCCATGTTGCACTCGCACTTTTTTGAAATCAATTCACGAATCAAAGTTAGCACACTCACAAACACACACACACACTTAATTACAAAAACACTGTGTGAACGATGAATATTTGTTCAGCGTACGACAAACAAACAAACGAACGAACAAATATTTGTTTGTGCATACGACTAACGAACAGACGAACAAACAAACCAAAACACAAATACACACAACCTATGTAATTCATTTCTTTCAATTAAACAAATGCACATACGTTCATAAGCAAACATTTAAAAACAAATGCAGGCGGACATACAAATACATAGACCTGCAAACATACACAGACACACGTATATACAGTCACACAAACAAACATACACACACACATATACATACCATAGACATCCATACAAACACGCGTATAGAAACACATACACAGACGCACATAAACACACAGACACAAGCACACACAAGAATACAGAGATTCTTGTATTTACGACTTGGAGCATGTGCTTATATGTCTTGCATAGATGACACATCTGTTAAACATGAACACAACAACAACAACAACCGTAAAAACTTCAACAACACAAAGTCATTATAAGACCAACAGAATTATAACAACAACAATGAAGAAAAAGAGATTGATAGAGACATCCCAAGTAAAAACTTTACAAATAAATTCGCCAAAAAGAATATAAATCAAGGGAAATTGTAATTTTAATAACTTGACAACATTTGCATCGTCAATTTTGCCAACGATGTCGTCAAACTCGCCTTGAAATTAGTTCTGTGTCAAAACTTTTCATATGACTTCGCAATTTAGGATTTGATTGACAGTTTTTAATATTTTTATATTATTTTTCTTAATTGTACAATTATTTCTTAAATAAAAATTTTCAATATTAATAAGCGTAGGTAGGAAAATAGACTGCCTCCGTACATTTATCTTTTAAAAGTTTTTTTTTATTCTATGGATAATTTTGTCTCGTTCATGAATTTGCATTCAACTGTAAAACATACTAATAATTTTTAAAATAAAAAAATGAGTAAATATTTATGTTGAGTGAAAACAGACAATAAAGTTGTTTGTAGAAATGAATTCATTTAACGGCATAAACAGACAGCCGTCCAAGAAACTGTTGGAACACCTTGCGCCTCTGAGATTCTTCTTAAGGAAGAAGCGCTACACAAATTTTATTATTAAATCAACGAATACAAAAATTGATGGAATTTTTTTACACCTCTTGTTGCAGCGTCAATTTTCCACACAGATCATCGATAATATGGGAAGTCGGACTTGAAATTTTTCATGCTTTACAAATTTTTCATCAGCAGTTGCAACAGCAAATTCATCATCGGCGTCTCCAGTGGATTTATCAAAATTATCCTCGCCAACATTCAACTCTAGAATTTCTATCAGTCATCAAATTGCCTCTGCTACAACTACACCACCACCATCAACAACGACAACAAAAACAACAATCAACGACAACAGCATCATCAATATCAACAACAACAACATCAACACTGACAACAACAACAACAACAACAACATCAACAACAAAAACAACATTCCCAACAACAAGACAGACAGTCAGAGAAACACGAACAACGACATCTAGGACAGAGTCCCATCAAAAATGAGGTTTTATTGAACACTTTAACACCATTGTCGTCATCGTTCGCCATTTTTTTAATTTTATTACAAACATTACCGCTATCATCGTCATCATCATCACAATTAACATCATCGTCGCTATCATCATCATTATTATCGTTATCATCATCATCATCATCATCACCGTTGTATTCATTTTATTTTCGTTGTCATCATCTTCATCTTCAACATCATCATCATCATCGTCGTCGTCGTCGTTCTCGTCACCACCATCATCATCACCATCATTACATCATCATCATCATCGTCACCATCATCATCATCATCATCATCATCATCATTATCATCATCATCGTCACCATCATCAGATCATCATCATCATCATTACTATTTTCATCATCATCGTCACCATCATCAGATCATCATCATCATCATTACTATTTTCATCATCATCGTCACCATCATCAGATCATCATCATCATCATTACTATTTTCATCATCATCGTCACCATCATCAGATCATCATCATCATCATTACTATTTTCATCATCATCGTCACCATCATCAGATCATCATCATCATCATTACTATTTTCATCATCATCGTCACCATCATCAGATCATCATCATCATCATTACTATTTTCATCATCATCGTCACCATCATCAGATCATCATCATCATCATTACTATTTTCATCATCATCGTCATCATCACTTAATACTTACCCAAAAGTCCGAGCCTATAGTTGAGGGTAATGACAATGACCTTGCCGTGAGCAGCCAATAGGCTGCCATCATACAAGTTACCTGCAACGTGATTGGTCGTAAATTTCAATGCTAAATTGAACTATCTCTATTCTCTATATTAATATTTGTTTTTACTTTATTAAATATTAAAAAATTCTCATTCTTTTCTCATTACTATTATTGTTATTTATATTATTATTCTTATTGTTATTATTATTATTCTTATTATCCATCCATTTAAAAGCCAACCTGTTCCATATTCGTATGATTCACCGTGTACAAAGACTAAAACTGGATAGGATTCTTGTACTTCTGTGTGAATATATGTATGTATGATATATGTGTGTGTGTGTGTGTGTGTGTGTGTGTGTGTGTGTGTGTGAACATATGTATGTATGTATGGATGAATGGATGTATGTATGGATGGATGGATGGATGGATGGATGGATGGATGGATGGATGGATGGATGCTTGAATGTACAGATGGATGAATAAACAGATGAATATACAACTAACCACACAATAATTCATTCAATTACATACACTCTACAAAAATGTAATTACAAACATACAATACTAAACAAATGCAAGAACACAAACTTACAAACATACAACATTCACAAACATACAATCTTCAAAAACCTACGAACATACAATCTTCACAAACCTACAAACGTATAACTGAAACAAACATACAAACACACTCATTGCCCACCAAATGGGCACTCATAAAAACATACAAAGACACAAACAAGCATACAAAGCGGTAACCATAAAAACGTACAAAAATACAAACATAAAAACAAACAAACATACAAACAAACATACAAACAAACATACAAACATACATACAAACAAACATATAAACAAACATATAAACAAACATATAAACAAACAAACATATAATACAAAGCGGTCGTAGAAACACATGAAATTGCCCGCCAACTAACACAGATCGATCGAACTTAATCCTAAACATCTCCAACTATTTCTCCGCCAATCTTGTCGGTGGAAACAGATGTCAAAATATGTGTGTGTGTCTGTCTGTGTATGTGTGTTCGTGCGTGTGTGCGTGCTTGTGTGTGTAAGTGTATTTTTGTATGTATACGAGTGATGCGTGTGTTTGTGAGGTTGTGTGTGAATTGACTGACGTAACGAAACGATTGATCTCTCGGTGTGACGTGAAAAAAGAGATGTGCGGTTTTTTTGTTATGACGTCATAAAGCAATTGATGCCTTTTTACGATGTCTAAGAACATACGATCTCTTCTTATGACGTCACGAAACAACTTTTATCTTCTGATTAACGTCACAAAACAATTGAGGCCCTGGCGTGATGTCACTTAGGTAAACTTCTTCCTCAATCATAAATTGTTTGTCTGAACGTTTGACCTGCTCTGCGTCACGATGCTACTGGAGTGAAAATGGCCTGACGAACGATCGAAAATTACGATGACGTCAAAAAATTAATGTGACGTCACAGTGGGAGAGAAAGAGAGAGAGAGAAAGAGAGATTGAAAGAGGAAAGAAGAGCAGATGAACAACTATTGACAATGACGTAATGAATAGATCATTGACATCAGTACTAGTATCAAAGCAGTGCTACTCGTTTTGTTGCTATAAAAAAATACAATTCCAAACTGGTTTTCGTAAAAACGTCCGTTCCAGGAACGAAACACCATGCGTTTAACTTGTGGAAGGATTTGAAATCTTCGAAATCTTGAAATTGTTGAAAAATTTGAAATCAGCGGCGTGATTTCGATGAAGGTGTAAGACGCCTGATGGCAATGGTGTTGCTTGGACTGGATTCAATTCAAATTTATGGCCATAAAATATCAAAATCACTTTCTCTCTCTCTCTTTCTTTTTCTCTCTCTCAATATTTTTTAAAAGTATCTATATAACACACACACACACATAAGCAACACACACGCACGCACACACACACACACACTCACATGTAAACACGCGTTAATCTACGCATTATAAGCATTGTATGTGATGATTGGATTGGCGGGAATCACTTTGCGTTTGAATCCATTCACTGCAACAACTGTGCCAGACACCTTAACCATTACTTTATCGCCACGTCCAAATGAATGAAAAAAATACTGGGAGTATACAATTTGAGACGTTGGCTCATCAAAGTCTGTGATATGTGACATTTTAAATCACGCACATTTACTATAATGTTTGTTTGTGTGTGTGTCGTGTGTGTGCGTGTATGTATGTGTGTGTGTGTCGTGTGTGTCTGTGCGTGCGTGCGTGTGCGTGTGTGCGTCGTTAATACATTTTTTATTGAAGTAATAAAAAATTGTATTAAGCAAAATTACAAAACTTGTTTAGATAAATCATCAGCTCACAATTGTGTCTCACGAATAGATATACCATTCCATATATAATTTTTAATTCATTTATTCATTCATACCTCACAAGTAAACAATTCATAATCTTCTTTTTTTTCTACGTCACAAAGAATTCACGTGCATCTGTGACGTCACAATTCACGACCGTGACGTAAGCAAATAAGTTGTTTATGGATGAGGTGGCGCACTGGTTGACAGTTTCGGCAGTGATGATGGTGATAATGATGATGAGGATGATGATGATGTTTATGGCGATGATGACGTTGATGGCGATGGTGATAATGATGATGACGATGGTGAGTGATAACAACATTAATGATGAACTTTGAGATGATGATTTTATCATAACAAGTCAATAATAATGATTTCGACGATGATGATGATGATGATGATGATGACGACGATGAGGATGATGTTGATGATGATGACGTAATCGACGATGATGATGATGATATCGAGCAAGAAAGGTCGATGGAAATGGAGCCATGAATATGCAATAATAATCCTATCTACAAGTTCTATCTCATTCTAAACATTGCCATGGGATCTCTGCATGTCAGTCCCAATGCACCCCAACCCAACTAACATTCATCTGTCTGTGTGTGTTTCTGTGTGTGTGTGTGTGTGTATGTGTGTATGTATGTGTCTGTGTTGCGTGTGTATGTGTGTGTTTGTGTGAGCGATGAGTTCCAGTATATGTTTGTTAGTTGAGTTTGTGTGTGTGTTTGTTTGTGTTTGTTTGTGTATTGGTTTGTTTGAAAGATTTTTGTCAGATTTGTTTGTATGTTCGATATGGCCATTCTGAAGGACAGTAGCCGGCTATTAATTTCTAGCATTACAATCCACGTACGACAAATAAGAAGCTCTTCTGTGAAAAACTTCGAAATATACTTTTAAATTAAAGGTTTTTAGGAATATTTTTAACAAATTTTTTCAATCTCGCCAGAAAAATTTTGAGAAAAAAAAATTGAAAACAGCGAATCGTCAAAAAATGAAAAAAAATTTATTTTCTGACGACGATGATGATGATGATGATGGTGATGGTGATGATAACGATGACCATGACGACCATGATTATGATGTAGTTGATGATGCTATTAATGATGATAAAACAACAAATTGGCAGCTGAAATCAAAATGACGAAAAATTAAAGCAGCAACTGAAGCAACAGCACTGGATGCAGTAATAGTGGTGGTAGTTGTAGTAGTAGTAGTAGTAGTAGTAGTAGTAGTAGTAGTAGTAGTATGGTGGTAGTAGTAGTAGTAGTAGTAGTAGTAGTGGTGGTGGTAGCAGTGGTAGTGGTAGTAGTAGTAGTAGTAGTAGTAACAGTAGTAATAGTAGTAGTAATAGCAGTATAAGTAGTATTCATTGGACTACAAACAAGAGAAAAATTGCATTTGGAGATAACAAGAAGTCATTAATGGAGTATGAAGAAATGAC